ACTTGGAATGAGCACTCTCTTCATGTTGGGAGAGGCCCAAAAGATTGATTCTCTTATCTCTCCGAAAAAATCACAGATTCTTTTCAGGATATTCAGGTTTCCTTGCATTACAGAATGATGACATCATATATATGACCTCATATGTGGCTCTCTCCCTGGTGATTTGTGATGTGTTTATTTAAGGCCTTGATTTAAACCACCCTGAAAATGAAAAACCACTTCCACAGCAAATATTTTACGCCCACACATCTCAAGCTCTCTCCCTGACTGCCATCACTCTTACTCATGTATTAATATAATATTCAGTGTTCTCCCAAATAGCTGACCTGTCCATTGTGCAGCAACAGGTAAAGTAAAGTGGCTTTAAGACATGCAGTGACATTCCTCCTGAAATTATCCGGAGGGGCTGGATGTGAGAACTCAAATGTCTGAGTCAGTTCCAAGTAAGCCCATGTGAGGTAATAGAGATAATTCCAGGGAATTCATGTTGATGTTTCTAGCACATGATTGATGGAAAACTGAAAACTGTTTACTTTAGCGCTACTATCGCTAAGGATCATTGTTTTCATTGTGAGCTCATTGTGCCACAACATGATGCACATTTATAATCGTACTTTACTGTGTCTTCAACATGATCTCTCTCACAAACCGAACAAAACCAGCATGTGTAGCCTACACTGCTGCCAAAATCATAGGTCCTCACACATTCAACCTCTATGATCTTTACTTTAAGGCCACCTCCCACATAACAACTGTTCGCTAGGGGTTGCTGTTACTTATACATTGTTACAAAACTTTCTCCAGCACTTTTAAATGGTGTTAAATACCTAACTTGCAGTATCATTATTGCTCACTGTTTTGAACTATAACACATTTTACGAAAGATAATGAACTTAATGTGACTATGATTGTGACGTCTGTTTTTCAGAGGAGATTCAGAGGACTGTAACATTCAAACCCTGCTCCTTGGTATGATGAATGTGCAAAGATGATGGGAATGATTGGGTTTGCGCGCCGCATGAGTGCAGCTGTCAAAGGCGGGAAGACCGGCGTGGGCATTTTTAGTATTTAATTGTTATTGTGCAGCTGCTTCTTTGCTCTGAATGGCAGCGTATGAAATCAGTCAGTGGTGGCTGGGCCTGCAGCAGACACAAAGCTGAGTTGCAGTCACTGACTCAGGCTGCGCTTAGCGGCATCCTAACAGCTCAGCACATTACGCTCTTAGGGCAATCCCTCGAAGGAGCTGCTGCTTAATGTGCGCTCTGTGTGGTGTATGGGACCATTTTGCGTTTGCCTTAATGGTCAGGCAAGGATTTGTGATTTAGTGTGTGTGTGTGTGCCTGCATTGCTCATTAATGACTAAAGAAAGAGAGAGAGGGAGGGACAGAGATGCTGTCGTAGTGTGTGAGCCTCCACAGCGGAATGTATCACTGTGCTCATTCTCTGTGAGTTCAAGGCAATTCTGTTAAACGGGTGTCCTACAGAAGGGCAAGCTGCAACAAATTGCCACCGGTTGTGACTCACAGTTTCATTTTTACATAACTCCCTTTCCTTTGTAAACAGCTCTGTTGCACTGCATTTAAAGGTACAGTGTGTAGAATGGAATGACATGTAGCGGTGAAGTTGCATGTTGCTGCTGATACCCCTGTACAGTTTTGATTAAACCAGGGTCTCTAGCAAAACTGGTCATGCTCAATTAAGTGACGCTGTAAAAACAAGGATACAAGTTACGGTTGACAGCTGTGACTGACTGAGCGCGGGTATCGGCAGGACCTTGCCCCCAGCAGTTCCACCCCCTGATAACTACTGCACAGACTCTAGCTCTAAATAAGCAAGATGGCAGCATTCGTATCCAGGACATTTTGGCTTTATTGCTGCAAGTGAGGGGTGTCATCCATCAGTCTTTAGATTGTATTGCCAGTGACTCCAAGTGCTGTTTGCAGTGAATAATAGGGCCACTTTTACCTTCTTCGAACTTTAAAAGAGTTTTTCCTGAGTCTTGGATGCCATTCAGTAGTTTCCGGTTTAACCACTGTCACTTTCCCTGGGTCTCCCCACTCACATCTTTCCCTTTGCAAAGATGATGGCTAGGACACATTCCAAACAAGCATGTCATCCTCACTGCCACTCATTCTTACATCTTTCAGCAATACCTTTGCGCATCTCCTGCCTTTATCTCCCGCCTTTATCTCCCTTCCGTCTCTCCGGGTTGTCTTCTTCTCATTTCTTTTCCATGTCAGAGCAAGTCAGCAAAATCCTTCCACTTAACTTTCCATCTGTCAACACCAAGTCTCCCTCTCATTGTGTATCCACATTCGAAAAAAAAATAAAATAAATAACTACCAGAATCTAGCTGTAGTTTGAGAGGTTCTTCATGCAGATACTAGCTTTTTTCATTTTTTTTTTCTTTATTTATTAATGTGTATTGGGACGTGAAGAGGATTTCAACAAATCATAGAAAGATGAAGTGTTTCAGAAATAACGTACCCACCCTAGCTTTAAGATCAAATGATCAGAAGAAAACAAATGATAATGTCTCTACCTTTGGACTGAGATCTTTGAGTTTTCAAAGTCAACCATTGTAACTTTCACTTCAGACACAGGCTCTGGCTTAGGGCCCCCATTGGACTCACTCATTAGTTAGTATGTGCAATGCAGGCATCATCAACAGGCATCATCATTCTCCCAATTTGAAAGGCAAATGCCTTTTTCATCCCCTCTCTCTCTGTCTCTCTGTGTTCCGCTCTCTCAACCTTCCCTGTATCCCTGTGACTCCTCCATCCACCCAGGGCTGTCTCTCAGCAGAGACAAGTTCTGCTCCAACAGGGGCTGACGCACCTAGAAAAACCCCTGATCAAAAAATGATCCGCATTGTTGATGCCTGCCTCTCTAGGTTACTGCTGGAGGGGTAGCAGATGATTGGATATATGGATAGATAGATAGATAGATAGATAGATAGATAGATAGATAGATAGATAGATGGATGGATAGAAATGAAGGAATGTTTGTGAATATAGGAGCAAAATATGCGATGCAACTACAGAGGGACATGGTCAGATTTTGCAGAGTGAGTGTGTGTGTGTGTGTGTGTGTGTGTTGTGGGGACACTGTCCACAGCAGAGAGAATCAGTGATGTACTGTATGAAAGGATGAAAGGATGAAAAACCAGGCTTTTTGCTGTGCAGATAATTCACAGCAAACTGTAGGAGTCTTGCTGACACACTCGCCCACTGCTAACAAATCACTGCACTTCCGTTTGACTCAGGATTCTTGTGTCACATCCAATTATATATTTTTAACCTTTATTCATCCAAGGAGGATGTTGCCACATATACTCTTTTTTTCTGCAATGGTCTGCTTAATATTTATACACTTACACACAGTCAGCTCGGGTAGCAAATTAATTTAACAACAGGCCACCACTGTATGCACTACTGGAGTCTCTTGTGCTTTTCAGTACCTTGCTCATAAGCACTCAATGCAGTGGAGCTGGGATTTAATGTTTGCTCCTTGTGTTTTACTAGTGGCATAATCTGAGAGGTATACCACTTTCAATATTGTTATGTAAGCATGTGACCCTGTGGTGGGTCCTGCTCCATGAAATTCATGTGTCACGATTCTTCCACTGTAACTGAAAACAGTTCAATAGGAATATTTTGTGGCTCCATAGGAAGCTGCGCAATGTGTGATAAATGGCCTTAAGTGATGTCAGATGATGTCAGTGAGTCAGGTCATTTACGCTCAACGGTAGATAAGGAAATGTACAGAGCCTGATTTCATTTCATCTGTACTTGTGCAGATATTCCCAGAGCACAGGGATACGAAACAGACAAAACAGAGCAGCACAGCAGTGAATCATGGACATGGCCGTACTTATCTGTATGTATGTAATAGCAGCATAGATAAGACGTGAGGTTGGGCTGAAACAAGTTAGATTTTTTCTATATTTTTTTATCTGGGCTTTGCTAAGTTGAACAGAAGTGAGTTTTCCAGACCTCTGTAGCCCACCCCTGATTAAGGCTAACACCTTCAGACTACATTTACCAGTAATGTGCCATTGTCACTCTCTCCCCTGTGGTTTTCTCCTCCTTTTCCTCTGTCATTCGCTCCCTCTCATGTACTTGATAAGTGATTATGTGGAGGGTGAAGCCGGAGAGGAGGAGCGCTCTCTCTCTTCCAGTTGAGAAGCAGCAGCCTCGGACATCTTAGCACTATTTCTATTGGTTATTTTTCATGTTTGTATGTTTTTGCTTTAGTTATTATTATAACTATTTCAATAAAAATGATGTAGTTTATGACAGGATTAGTGTGATTTTCCCAGTTGAAGACCAGTGGAACTGTAGCAGCACAGTAAAAGCCAAAGAGAGACAAAAAAAGTGTCATTCCTTTATTTATTATTTGAATCCTGTACAAACATTCCAACTGACATGGAATTTCATTGTGACAAATACAATGTTCTGAATCACTGCTGTTTCTCAAGACCTAGACCCCATATTGTTTATTAGTAACCCACAGCCCTGCTCTTCATCTGTTACAGTCAATGGCCTTCATTAAGCTGTTGAATTCATACAAAACATTTAACACTGAGAGGCCACTTTCAGAAAACTGCGATGGATGGTGGGCTAACATTACCATTTTTTGTAAATATTTCTTTGTCATATAATTATTAAAAGTGTCAACTGACAAGTGTATGATTTGATTGAATGAGAGTGAAATGTGCACTTGTCCCTGTAAGTGTGTTGTAATAGCCCTGCACTAGGCAGTGTGAATGGCTGTGAATTGAGAGGTGCTTAGACTGGTACTTGGTATCGATTAGTCTTTTGAATGAAATACCCACTTCTCACCTGTTGCACAGCCACTTGCAGCAAAAGAGGTTTGATTTTCAAGTTTAGCATTAATATGCATCTAATCCTGACAAGCTCTTATCTGTGTGTGTCTGTGTGTGTGTCGGCGTACTGCTGTGTGCTGTCCAGCTGTTTGACCCTGTCCTTGTCTCTCAGGTATGCGTATCCTGGTGACCCTGCTCCTGGACACCCTGCCTATGCTGGGCAATGTGCTGCTGCTCTGCTTCTTCGTCTTCTTCATATTCGGCATTGTGGGCGTCCAGCTGTGGGCCGGCCTGCTCAGAAACCGCTGCTTTGTGGAGGTCAACTTCTCCTTGTGAGTTCCAGAGTCTCTGTGTTGATATATTGTCTATATGTGACATTGTGTTTCAAGTTAGTAACAAGAATACATAAACACGCACACA